ATTATAAGACCATTATTGCACACTGTGGGGTAAATCATGAAATTATATTGTAGCCAATACAAATAAAAAGCCAAGAAGAGAGTTTGTCATTGATATTTAATGAAACTGGAGTTACTGTGCTTACATTTTATGTAGATAAAAAGTTGTGCTAAATCCAAAGTACTGTACTATTGATATTAGGAAAACTACCGTCGTTTTAAGTCTCCAAGGTACTATATTTGTTGTCCTGCCCAACAAATTATAAAATAAAATCATAGCCCCCAAAATAACTAATATTATGTAATATAGAATAATTTTTAAATGAGAGAAGTAGAACTTTTCCTCTAATACATAAATGTGACTAATTTGTAGATACTATTTTATGTGAGGAATAAACTGTTTGGTCCTAATTAAAGGTTCCATAGTCGATTTGGAAATTAGAAATATGCAATTAGGAAAACATGCGTCACTGGGGGAGGGGAGAAGATCTATGTATAATGTGTGTGTGTGTGTGTGTGTGTATCTGTAGGTGATTTCAGAATATTAAAAGCCTGAAACTATAAAAGCTGTTTAGGATTATTTTAAAGACAAAACCAAATATTTGACTAAAAAAAATCTACCCACAGAACTCAACGACTATGAACTAGCCAATAGTTTGAGTAAAATGACTGATGAACCAACTAGTTATTACAGTATCAACGAGACATGCTCAGAATTTTAAACATTTATTAAATCTAACGTTAATATTCCCAGAGTACCCTCTAAAATATACAAACAAAATCTTCTAATGAGATTACTCTGAAAGTTCATATTCATTTAATGACTTTTATTAAAAAATGACATTTTGATTTAATAATAGTTATAAATTAAATTTATAATTTTAGATTTTCCTGGTTTAATCTGGGATTCAGAACATTTTAGTGAATGCTAAACTCTAAGTACTAGAAATAATTAGAATAAAGTCCAAAGGTTAATATAATAGCACCTTTTTCTAATTAGGTCTCATAATGACCTGTGAATATTCAAAACTTTCAAGCCTAAATAGCTGAATATTTCTAAATAGATATTGAGTAACTGTTAAGATATATACATAGATATCTAGCACTGTTGCCCCTGAGTAAATTAACATTATTTTGGACATCCTATAAT